GTACAAAACTTCATGTTAGATGACCAAAATTCAAATAACCAAGATTTAATGATAATCTAGCCTACAGTCAGTCAATTAAAAAAGAGCTTTCTTGACATAAATATCACTGCTCAAACAAACCAGCTAGTGGGAACTATGCATTCTAAAATTAAAACAACTTATGGGATGAAAGAAACTGAACCTTAACTTCGTAATGCAAAACCACATAACTGTTTTGCTAGATATACCACACATAGCTGTTTTGCTAGATATACAAATAGAACAGAGGAAATACTACTGTGGAATAGGATATGCAAAACTGGACACAAATAGGTGTTATTAAAAAAAAAAAGAAAAAGAAAAGGAAAAGGAAAGAAAAAAAAAACAGTTCAGTTGCACTAAACTAGGAAAAGGTGTTTTGCCAAAATTCTTAGCTATATTATTCTAAAAGCTCATATCAGGAACTTCTTCTGGCCCCAGAGACTTTAGTTGTTAAGCTAGTTAGTAGAAAGTTGTCATCAAGTTTTGATAGACCTAGTTATTATCTAAATATATATCTAACTCAGGCAATGTTAAAAAATTGAAAACAATTTAGGAAAAGAAGGTATGATATGGTACTGTATTAGAATTTGAGAAAAAAACCCACAATTGCAGTCAAAAATTTGGAAGTCTGTATTTATTTCATATTTATCACAGAATCACAGAATCACTAGGTTGGAAGGGACATTCAAGATCATCAAGTCCAACCCATGCCCTAACACCTCAACTAAACCATGGTACTGAGTGCCACATCCAATCTTTTTTTAAACACATCCAGGGATGGTGACTCCACCCTCCATCATTTCCTCAGGCAGACAATTCCAGTAATTTATCACTCTTTCCAACATCCATCCAACCATTCCAGGTCTCTCTGCAGAGCTCTCCTACCCTCCAACAGATCAACACACACTCCCACCTTAGAGTCATCTGCAGATTTGCTAATAATAGGCTCAATACCCTCATCCATATAGTAATTAAATATTGAAATCACAAGTTTAAACTTGTTTGAAGACATTTATATATTCCTTGAAATAGTTTCTGAGGGTCTTTATTCCACCACCCAGGACAAAGCATGAACGTAAGTTTGCCCAACCTTTGTCCTCCCTCATTTCAGCTGGATGTATGATATTCATATTAATTGATTCCTAGCATTTCTAATTCTTGCCTTCTCCCAAGCTCTTCTAGAAAAGAAAAGCATTATTATGCGCCAGTTGTTCTATCCCTTGAGGATGACTCCTTTCCATTGCACATACAAATTACAAAAAGATCACCTGGTAAGTGGATATTTATTGTCAGATTGCTTCTGCAGTAGGAAAGAACACTTTACTTCTGAGAACAGGCCTTTTGCTTGTTCTTCCATTTTGCATTGTTCACATCCTTGCTCACTCCAGCTACTGCACTAAATCCATGTTTTATTCTTTCCTCTATTTCCTCTTCCTTCCTCTTTCCTCTAATTCCTCCTTCCTAATTGTTTGTATTCCTCTCTGTCCAAAAAGTCTGGAAGTTTACAAATGCAGACTATGTAATAAGTTATGGATTAGATACTATATTTAAAGAAACAATGACTGAATACTTTTTTTTCTATCAAATTATGATGTAGTTTAAGATAGAAAATCTTCTAGGTATTATTAAATATAGATGTACTCTCTCATTCCATCATACCTGGACTACTTTCTCAGTTATAGATTTAGCATAATTTTTGCTGCATTTTCTTACAGGCATTTTGTTTTCACATATCTTGTTACTCAAGCAGTGTAGGTGTTTTTAGAAATAGCAGCAAAAAACCCATACAAAAACAGTTTCCCATAAGAAAAACTGAAGTAAATTTTTATTACTCAGGATTTATTTTACTCTAATTGACATCTGGTCCTTCCTTTAGCATTCATAAAGAGCATTTCAGGAAGGTTCCTGATGAAGGTGAAGAAGTTTTCTCTGCACTGATATTCTCTAGGAAGTCTCACATGGACAGAACTGTATTTTGAGTTGCATACACCTATTGAGATATGTGTAATTTAAGTGTTCACAATAGCTTCCTTTGCTAAGACCCCTCTTTTTTTTCTGTCCACATGGCTGTTTTTGTAGTTTAAAAGTTATTTGCTCAGACCCAGTGTAGCAACAGAGATCTCACTTCCAAAATGATACATGATTATAGCAGAAAAGATTAATTGAGATGCTTACTGTTTATTTAAACTTATCTCTATTGTCATCTGCTTCCCTCAACAGTTAGTTGGACAATGAAATATTAATTGCTTTACAATTTCTGTCAAAAATTCCCTCACAAATTACCTGTCACTCTTTTAAAAATAATGTCTGACAGATGATAAACATTAAGTCTTATTTGGTTTACTTGAAATTCCATAGATGGGATTTTAATTCCAGAAGTAATTTGATAGTTTCTTAGTTGATTGCATGGCTGCTGAGTTTACAAATTACTGCTTGCAGCTGTTTTGGCAGTTCTTCCTCAGGGTTAGGCTGTTCAGAAGGAAGCTATCGCATTTTAATTAAATCTAATAGGAAATAGAACAAAAAATTGGTGGTTTTTTTTTTTGGGGGGGGGGAGTTAAGTTTCAAAATATTTAAATTTCAAAAATTATTTAGAAATATGTTCATTCAATAAGTCACATTATTGCATATTTATTGCAATTTTAATTTCCAAGTGCATTTCACACCTTAAATCAGAATTTGTACAAGTGATTGAGAAACTTCTTACAAAAAGTTTTAGCATTTTAAAGTGGTCACAGACTTGGCTTTTAAAGAGACTGCAGTAGGAGGAAACTCTGCTGGAGAAAGCTAACAATGTGGCTCCCAATCAGGCTGCAAAAAGGAACTGAGAATAAAAACATAGACCTTCCAAAGCCACACAATCTTAGCAACATTTTAGGACAGCATATTTATTCTTCAGAGCTTTATTATCAGACAGTACCTTTCAGACAGAGAAGACTATTAGGCTATGAAGCCCACCATCCCAATGTTTATGCCCTGACTGATCCCCTTCTTACTACAAAGATAACCTTATATTAAGTTAGAGTGATTCCTTGCAAGTTTTGGCATTCTCAATGCTCTGGTACTCCCACTTATATCTTATTCCACACTCTATTATTAATACAATGGATATTTTCTTAATACAGAGTGACAGAATCACCAAGACTTTAGGACAGAGAAATGCTGGGAAGCCTTGTACTTTCAGAGGATTTCACATACAGATATTAGAGTGAAGCATATCTTTAATTTCTTTTTTATTTGAGTTCCTCCCTGATAAATTATATTCTAACCACTAGACAAGTCATCCAGTTATCACAAAAATTATTCAATTCCTGGAACCACAGCTGAATTTTTTGACTTTTTGTCATGAACCCAAACCTCTCTCTTCCATTCCCATGATATTTTCTGTTCAGGTCTGGTGATTCTCTCTAAAATGTAGCAATGCTCCTCACTGGGCAACCCTTGAACATCAATGAGGTAATGACCCACCCACCCAGCAGTCACTGGGAGAACCTCTGGCTGCACTGTCTGTGGCCCTCAGCCTGCGTTGGGCACTCCACAGCTCATCTTCAGGATGAGCTTGACCAGTCCTTACAAAAGGAGCCTGCAGGTTGCTCCCACATGGTAGAAATGACTATTCTACCATGGTATACTTGCTTTTATCTAAAAGTGCAGCAAGAAGGTCTTGTAGGAGCACCCTTTCTACTTGAACACCCTTTCAGCTTGAACTGAGCTGTTTCCTTGTAAGAAAATCCAGTAATAGGTCAAATGATCAAAATTGGATAATGTTTTTTATGGATGGGGTCTGGATGACGTGCTGTGGCCTGATAGTTAACCCATTCAATGATGCATTATTCAGGGTTCTCAGTATCTAAGATGTAAAATTAGCTATACTTTTCTTTCTCTGTAGCGTTAGCTCAAAACTCCACCATTTTGAATGATACTTTACAGTCTTTTCTTACTTGCATCATAAGGAACCAGCACCTCCTGGTGCAAAACACATCCAAAATACCTCCTATTCCACAAGAACCACAATGTACATAAAAGCTGAAAGGCCTCTTAGCAGCCAGCTACATACAAATGATTTGAGTATAATTCCTGTAGGCATCTGTGGATGTCATCTTGATATTTCCAGACCACTTATACCTGCTGCTTGTTTGAAAAATAACTTTTTTCTTTTTTTGAATAGCTGCCAGTGGAAAATCTAGATAAAAATAAATATGTTAAATAGACTTTTCTTTTTATTGTAGTTTGTATGTTGTTTGTATTGTACTGATGGTTTAACTTAGTATTAAGGAGCAATAAGAATCAAGTTAATTTAAATGATTTTGAGATTTACTGTACTCAAATTCTTGTAACATAGAGCCATTCTATTCAGGAACTGATTGATATGCTCCCTTCACACTTCTGTCAACAGTCATTTTTAAAAGCTCATTATTGATTGCACTTAACACAAGGAAAAAGCATCATGCAGTGGCATAGGCTTTTTGCCCAACCATGCTGAAAAGCACATCCTATTTACGTTTCATTAGAAACTTGGAAGGTGAAAAGATGGTGATTTTAAGATCCACAACTTTCAAAGTGATAACTCCTTTTCAGCAAGTCCTCCATCAGAACAAAGGGCATATATTTCTTCCTGTCAGCTCATCTATGTGGTTCATAAACCTCTACATGAAACCAATATATGCATTACATGGATTCCAGATCTTTGTAATTTTTTAAAAAATATAATGCTGGGTTAAGATAGGGAAAGAATGTTTGCTCCTGATCTAACCTGGGATAGTAAGTTGAGATGAAAGATTAAGTAACTTTTACTATTTCAGTTGGGTTTTTTTCCTGGAGAATGGGAAAAGGAGACTCCCCATTCCTAAACTTAAACTTCCACCTTTGCAGGTTCAATTTTACAGTCATATTCTTCAGAAGATCCTTTTCTTTTCCTTTTCTTTTCACTTCTTTGTATTTTTTCTATTTCCTTTTTCAGATTGCATCAATTTTCTTACCTTCCTTTTAGAACCCAGATTTCCAGGATTCCTCATTTTCTTTCAAGCCCCTTCACTTTGGAGACACAGAGGTTATTAGCTGATAGTTCCTGCATGTCCTGGTAAAGACAGAAAGATCATTCTCAGTTGCTTTTTTTTCTCTATCCACAGAGTCTAAATAAACAAAAGTCCTTCTAAGTATACCTGTATCACTTTCTCAAAATGCCTTACTGAAATGAGATTTAGACAGAAGTAGAGCATTCTGCTCACAAATTTTAGGTTATGTTCTAAGGACACTGAAAAGCCTGGTTCAAAAGTATAATTGGTTTTCTACAGCACTGACAGTCAAGTTCCTCAGAAAGACTTGAAGTTTATTAAAAATTATTTCTTGTTAAATTCTATCTCCAGTCGTCTATACGTGTGTTTTTGTATGTCTTCAATTAAAGATTATATGTTGGTTCCTTCAGGTTTACCCTTAGTGTGCATGCAAAATACTAAGTATCACACATTCTAATTTTAAGCAAATTAAAAAGAACATAGTAAACATTAAGTGTAAGAACATTTGCAAAACTATTGTATAGAAAAATCTAGAATGACAACAGCTACAAAATATTGTGTCTAAACAGAATTTTGCCTATAAAAATCATTTTCATATGGCAGAGGTAATTTTTACATGAAATTAACAGGGGCAGAAGATGCAGAAGTCAACTACAAAAGGGGTATGAGCCACAGGACTAAAACATATATCTCCTGCCACATAAATTCATCACTATTAGAAGAAACTGAACAAATGTTCTTTTCTTCATGAATTTATGCCCAGGAACTAAGTCAGAAGACAGCTGGAATATTTATATATCTATTTCTCTAGAAAGAGAATTTGCAGCAATATCAGAAATGCATGGAATATCTAACAGTCTTAGGGAAAAAGGTCACTATCACATTTCACATCAGAGATTTCAAAAGCCAGAGCCTGAAAAGAATGAACATACAATGTTGCATGTAGGTAAGGATTTGCATAAAAAGAGCTTTGATAATTTCTTACTCAGTTTTCAAATTTTCTGCCACAATTCATTCCATACTATCAGTTAAAAAGCCCAATTCTAAAAATAGTGACTGTTTTAAGCTTAATTGACAATTACCTGCAGTGAAAAATCTTGCACTTTTAGTATTTCAGCTAAAAAAATGTCTGAGTTATTTCAATTATTTCTTCTTGTAATCCAGAAGGAATTTAATCTCTTTGCATACAATAGTTGAGACAAATATAATAAAAGTAATTAAGGTGGCAAATTATAACCAACTTCATCGCCAGCATAGGTTGTGCACTTTCAAAAGAATTAATTATTTCTCATTGCTTTTTTTTTCCTACTGTGGAATCCTTAAATGTGCTTTTAAATGCAGTCTTTGAAAGTGTCAGACTGTCACAGAAGCTCCATTTATAGCCTTGGCATTTCAGCTTGTCTAAAGGACACAGCTTTTCTTCAGACATCTAGGCTAGACCTAGACTCAACACATGCCTTTCCATCACTGCAAGGCAAACCACCCTGGGCTTAGTTTGGATTGCTATAATTTCACTGAAACTCTTGCCTTAACACTACAGAACTGAATAAAGTTAATCACTTTGGCTCTCAAAGTGCTTCACTGTGTATTTGGCCAGGGTGAAATATAAATGCTGACTTAAGTCTTCCTTAACAAATTACTGGAGAGAGACAAAAAAAAAGAAGGCACAAACCAATCTTCCAGTCAAGCATTCCCCAGTTCCACTTGGGCATTCAGAGAACTATTCTTGCCCAGCAGTCATAGAAACACCTGAACTCTTGCAGCAGTTTGTACTCAGAAGCAGCACATCATTTTTTACATGTACTGCATGACTTACCAGCCCCAACATGTGCCCCCTAAGCCACTTGGAGTACAAATTGTTCATTTCTTTTTTACCTTCACATTTTAATTTTGAAAAATGCAAGACTATGTTTTTTATTAACCACATTTTGTCATATTAAGATTCCTTCTCTCCAATGTAGTACTACTTTTAGAGTATTCTTAGTAAATCTTAATAACCTCAGTTATACCATAGCTGAAATTAAGACCCAAGCTCTAAACTGCAAACCAAAAAAGTTTTATGTCATGTTGGCTGAGAGCTAAATATTAAATGCATTTCCAGAAATATTATTCTCAAAGAGCTGTGTTACTGGGTATATATGAGGCTCACATAATTGTGAGTTTCATTCAACTGATTAACGACTCACCTAGGATTACATGTTCACGTACAAGAAACTTTTGCCAACAAAAGAACCAGACTCTTGAAGTGTGCCACCAAGGAAAATAGTTTTAATTCCAAATAGTGATTTTTCAGTACAGCTGAAGGGCAAGACAAAAATGTAAAATTAAGGAGGGCTTGCACTGCCTTTTATATGAACACTTTCAAGAGAAAAATTGAGGAATTTTTAACATAGGAACATGAACTGCAGATGAAAAGGACAATGTTCATTACTGTCACCAAGCTCTACTGACACCAGAGCTCTATTTCAGTGGCATTTCTCCCCACAAATTAAGAGCTCGAATAGAAGACACACATCTTTATGTACTGATTTTTCAGTGAAAAATGGAGGCATTCACAATGGGCTGTAGGTCACATCCCACAGCTGCAGTACTCTGCAAGTGATAGGAAGGCATGCCTGCAAGCTCCACTGTTCAAACCAGGGGCACATTTAGCCTCTGTAGCAGCTTTGGTGACTGTAAGTCCACAGGAATTATTCAAAGTAGAACTATTTTGTATGTTCTTGACCACCACCTTATGGCTTTATTTATCTCGGATTCTGAGCCAGACTTTGGCCAGCAGTCAAAAAGTAGAGAAAGACCTGTAAAGTGAAGCCTACCAATTCCATTCAGAGTTGCAGTCAGTAGTCTGATGACATCTTTCCAAAGCACTTGTTAATGTTACTCATAGTTAAAGCCAAGAGTTGTCATGGGGACATCATAAAAGATTTGTTCAAGTCAGTTTCACAAGTCATTAGCTATCAGCTGAAATTCCCATTTCTCTAACTCAAATTTAAGCCATTAAATCATACTTCTCTCCACTGAAAAAGATGACAAAAATAACCCCTCTAAAGAAGCACGCTCTTACATTTTCATTCTTGCACTTAACCTTCCGTACTAAAGAGAACCCAGAATACTGGGGAAGGTGAATCTATAATTTCTTCCTCTGTAAGGGAAGCTTTAACTGAGAAAGCATGGCATGTAAATTTACTTTATTTTTAATATGTACCATTGTCTTTCTGTGCCCTGAAGATTTACATGCATGAAACCAATATAGGAACTATGTCCCATAAGTAATGTGTAAAAAAGTTCTAAGTAAATAAACTCCACAAGTGAGAAAAAAAAAAGGAAAAATATTTTCTATTGAATAATACATTCTTTTTTTTTCAAGTATCTGTGATACAAAATCATCAATTGAAAATGCAGGTTTTTAAAATTTTGTTTACCTTTCTTCACACGTCATAAGACATTGAGAAAAAAAAAGTGCATAAAAATGCCTCAAGAGGAATTAAGACACTTGGCAGGTACTTGAGTCACTCACAAACACAGATAATTTAGTCAGAGTATTAAAATCAGTTCAAATAACTCACTATTCTATTTACTTAGAAGGAAATAGTTGATCACTGTCTTCTCTATGTAGGTATATAGGACAAAAGGGACAGTCACTTGAATTGGTTTTTTTTGGTACTAGTGAGGCAGAAACGGCAGCTCACCAATGCACAAAATTAGGGAAGGAAACATTGCGACAGATGCAGAAGAAATGGAAGAGGCAAGCAACAAGGCTGGCCAGGAGAGACTGGAAGTATTGATAGGAACATGTCAGGAATTTTTAAGCACATAGATAGATGGGGAAGCAGAGTTCAGTAAGTCACAAAATTATGCAGAATTTCAACTCTGAAATTATAACCATTTAGGAGACATTTAAGGTAATACTTGGTAGGGTTTAGAGCCAGCAGCAAGGAAATAAAAAGACAAACAACGTGTTTTCTTTATACAATGTACAGTAAATAGGGAGCTGTTTATTTGGCATAGCCTCCCACTGCATAGTAGTTTACATCTAAATAAAGCTACTTCAAATTCCAAAAGAAGTGCACAATGGACGAATTCAAGCTGTACATGGGAAAGCAGGTAAAACTTATGGTCAGAAGGAGAGAAAAGTAGAATAGAAAATCTAGAAACGCTGTATGGAGGGGAAAACCAGCATATTTTCCAAGGGAATACTTCTAACTATTTGTGAGTGGTGTGAGGAGCGAATGAGAGATGACTCCTAGGACCTAAGGAGTCAGATATATTAATAAAAGCACCACTCTTCAAATTGGGATGGTTGAGGAGTAATTGCCCCCAAATCTTCTACCCATGCATTGCTATTTAAGCATACCAGAAAATTCAATGAAATGAAAAATAAAATAAAATAAAATAAAATAAAATAAAATAAAATAAAATAAAATAAAATAAAAATAAAACACCCCAGCAACAACAAAAATGAAGAAACCGAACCAGAGGACTACTGAGAACAAGATGAACTTGAAATGGGGATAAACTTTGGAAACACCACCACTAAAGTAAGCACTATCATAGCAGCCTGCAGGCTGTATTAATGATAACAAGCATTGCACTATACTAAATATGAAAAGACTATGTCTTACCAAAAGAATAGAGAAAAACTCCTGTCCTTTGTTCCATGTACATTCTGACTCTGAAATTCCAAAATTCAGTTATAAGACTGATATGCACGTGTATGAAGAACCCAAACACTAAAATAATGTGATGACACTAAAATAAAATTAATGTTGAGTAATGGAGCTCTTTTGTGCAGGTAGCCAAAGGCTTCAAGATTGCAAGCTAAAGTAGGGAAATTTATGTGGAATTTACATCTCCTGCAACAAATTTTTTCTCAAGTTCAAAGTCAGCATCAGAAAGGCAGATTGTATATTCCTTTATTTATAAATCCAGCAAAATTCCAACGTTTACTTGTTAAAACTGTTGAAGTTTAGGTAACGGCAAAGGCATTTTTATTGACAGTGAAGCCTAGTTTACTATTTCAGTACCTGCAATCAAGTAGTTAACAGCTAAAAGCACATATCATTTTGGAAGACGATTAGAAACACTTCATATCTCATCTGAGAAATCCTTACAGAGGTATATACATATATTTAATTAAATGATACACTGAAATAACTGAAAGGTGAGTCAGAAAAGGACCTCTTGACTCACACCTGTTAGGAATTACATCTCTATTGGGAACAATGCTACATTGTAGGCTGTGGGCAATCTTTTGAAAGCACAACTTCATAATTAACACAAGTGAAATTAATTGTACAGATTTAGGAAGTCAAAAAGTTAAGAAAAGCAGAAAGAATGAGAAAATTACAAAGTTACTTTACTGCTATTTTCTTGTGGCTCAATCTTAAAAGATTAAACAGCAAGACAGAAATTGACACATTGAAATGTCACAATTTTTCTATTCTTTAGAGGTATTGTCCTACCAGATCCTTCAAGTAATAGAAGCATTTTCTATGCTTCTGCAAATATTTCCCATATTGTTACTGACGGATAAGAGAAGCAGGTAAGATTCTACTACATGGTTTATCCAGAGGAATCCTCTTATTTGTCAATGTCAGCTCCTCTGTCAGCTAAGTTTAAATCAACCATAGTCATAGAAAACAGCAATAAACACTTCCCTTAGACTGATTCATTCATTTTAGGTTAAAAATTTGCATTTTTGCATTGTTACCTGTGCACAGATGTAGGCTTTAGCAGCCTTTGGAAACCAGTGGAGCTCCTCAAATTAGTGAAAATGAAATGGCAAAATTGATGGCAAGAAGATGCATATGAAAGAAATTATCAACCAGCAAAAGAATATTCCCAAAAGCCTTGAATTATATTTAAAGACTGACCATATATTATTTACCATGTAAGTGTTAATTTCTCTGTTTAATGATGTCTCAAAAATATTGGAACAAACATATAAACAAGATCTCAAGACCAAAGGTGATATTTGAATCAAACAGGTGGACAGAAAGTTAGCATTTGGGCAATATAATACAGCATTCACCAAAACTCTTCACAGAACTCTCATTTAAGAATTTTTTTCCTAAGTCCCTGTGTCAGTTATTATAATATTTTGATATTAAATAGATTAAAGTTACAGATAGTATAGAAGCAACAGTGCTTATTCAGAGCAGAGTAATGTGGGCAAAGAAATTAGAGGAAAATGGGTTAAAAATAAACTGTGTAATTACACCTTCTCAGCCATTTCTCTGTGAAAGCATTGCACCTTAGAAAAGATAAAATTTAGCAGTGAGTCACTTCATAGAATTATGTTTCAGAATAACTTGTTTTTAATAAGGGGAAGTACTGATTTGGAATTAGGAACTAAAAATTATTTTGTAGAAAAACCACTTCTTTACCTGCTATAAAAAAACTTTTGAAAAAAACACTATGAAAGCTTAAATTAATTATGCAAAAGTATAATAGACTAAAGGTGTGACTGAAAACTGACTCATGATCACCCAGGCAAGGTACTGAGTAGCTTCCAGTATAAAATGTTGGCTGTTCATGTTTTGCATAGAAGAGTTGGTATGGAAAAATATCTAGATTGCTATTTATTTACTAGATCAAAGACTAATAATCTAAAAAGGCACAGTTGTGATAGTCCATTATTACTAACAAAACTAGAAAAGTTTTTCCCTACTCAACAAAATGATAGACAAGAAGTCACACAGAAACAGTAAGGGAGTCAGAGTTTAAGAAATTTTTCTGATGAAATGAAAGATAAATACCTTTATGTAATAGGTGTCAAAATGTACACAAATAAATTGTTGCTTTTTAAACATGAAAAACTATCTTATGAAGAATGACAACTATACTGCCTTAAGCTATCATAATACATGGCCAAATGTATTTATCATTTCTGTCATAATGGGCTGAATTTTGCTTATATCAAGAAGCAAACAAAAATTTTGGATGATAGCAGCAGACTTATGAGTTAGCAAAGAGAAAGTAAGGAGAAAACTGCAACAGTTCAACTTCCAAATCTTATGTACTCTAGTTGCAAATTAGTATTTTTATAGTGTTATTTGCCTATAAATTTTAATTTAAGTTTTATTTTATGTATTTATGGGATGCAAAAAAAGTATTTGGTTATTTTTCATATTATAATTATGGAGCCAGGAAAGGAAGAAATACAACTTGTATGCTCTCATCCATCTTTAACCTTTAAAGGACTACTCTGCTCAGTGTTAAACAAAGAAAGAAATTGTTATCTTGTGACTGCTGGTTTCATTGTCAGAATTATGAGCAATGGAAAGAAAAATTTTAAAGAG